ACACAATCAGGGGAAAAAAGCTGCTCTTGTTCTAGAGTATAGCTAGACGATTTGATTTCCTACCCAGACAAGTTTACGGTCCGCTCCTCGGACATCGATCTCTCGGCTACAAGTTATTCATCTGTTTATCTATTTATTTATTTTTGCTACACGATCTTCAAAAAGAAAAAAGGTCAAAGCCTTATCACACGATGTTAAGTCATGTGACCTAGTTTCGGGACAAATAGATCAATGTGTAAATTGCAGAATGTTGATTACTAGACCAGTTCGAGGGAAATATTTTACATGAAGTTGATCCTATTACGTGTTCGTAACTAATATACAAAATGACCTATATCTATATATACCTATCTAGGTCTCTGATCTGTTTTAACCTTTTTTTTTATCCAATTAGAAAATCTCCTACCAATACAAGGATTTCTATATTTATGGTTGGATGATACATTTCAAATCAGCGGGACACAAAACGTGACCAGCTTTTCCAACGGTCAATATTCCGTTTCTTCTATTGCACTATATGAATGTATATAGATCGGTATAATTAGGTATGTGTATTGGGTTTGAGAGAGGAGAGTAACCCGACTCTAATACTGCCAGTAGTTGTTGACTTTGGTGTAACACAATTAACTACGGAGCGGATCTCTTCAGGTGGGCGTGTACCCGGTAAGACACTGACCCTACTGGTCAATGGTCAGAGGGTCTCGGGCCTATGGTTTTCACTGATCGATATTACTCAGCATCACATCAATAGTCCCTGTAGCAAGTGTCAGTCGGTTGACATTTTACATTTAGGTCATCCTGAATCAGGAACAATAATAGGTAGATAGGCCTATCGGGCCTGTAGATACACAAGCCCACACGTTACCATCCACATTAAACAAGAGGTTCACAGGGCCTGCACATTACCATCCGCATTAAATAAGAGGTTCACAGGGCCTGCACGTAACCATCCACATTAAATAAGAGGTTCACAGGGCCTGCACGTTACCATCCACATTAAATAAGAGGTTCACAGGGCCTGCACGTTACCATCCGCATTAAATAAGAGGTTCACAGGGCCTGCACGTTACCATCCACAGTAAACAAGAGGTTCACAGGGCCTGTGCGTTAACACCCACATTAAACAAAAGGTTCATGGCCTCCACGTTACCAACAACATTAAACAAAAGGTTCACGGCCTCCATATTACGATCCACATGAAACAAGAGGTTTACATGGCCTGCGCGTTCCCACCAACACTAAACAAAAAGGTTCAAAGGGCCTGCAATTTTAAACTTTGAACAAGATGATCGCCTAGCCTGTATGTTGACTCTCAATCACAGCTGCTTTTCTGTTTTATCAGTCTTTTTAAGGTATTCTGTGGGCTCATCTTCTTTTGAACTGTCTGTCTAAGGTATCATGTATGTTCCCCATTTCTGTCTAAGGTATCATGTATGTTCCCTATCTCTAACTGTCTGTCTAAGGTATCATGTATGTTCCCTATTTCTGTCTAAGGTATCCCGTCTGCTCCCTATTTCTGTCTAAGGTATCCCGTCTGTTTCCTATTTCTAACTGTCTAAGGTATCCCGTCTGTTCCCTATTTCTAACTGTCTAAGGTATCCCGTCTGTTCCCTATTTCTAACTGTCTAAGGTATCCCGTCTGTTCCCTATTTCTAACTGTCTAAGGTATCCCGTCTGTTCCCTATTTCTAACTGTCTAAGGTATCCCGTCTGTTCCCTATTTCTAACTGTCTAAGGTATCCCGTCTGTTCCCTATTTCTAACCGTCTAAGGTATCCCGTCTGTTCCCTATTTCTGTCTAAGGTATCCCGTCTGCTTCCTATTTCTAACTGTCTAAGGTATCCCGTCTGCTCCCTATTTCTAACTGTCTAAGGTATCCCGTCTGTTCCCTATTTCTAACTGTCTAAGGTATCCCGTCTGTTCCCTATTTCTAACTGTCTAAGGTATCCCGTCTGCTCCCTATTTCTAACTGTCTAAGGTATCCCGTCTGCTCCCTATTTCTAACTGTCTAAGGTATCCCGTCTGTTCCCTTTTTCTAATTGTCTAAGGTATCCCGTCTGTTCCCTATTTCTAACTGTCTATGGTATCCCGTCTGTTCCCTATTTCTAACTGTCTAAGGTATCCCGTCTGTTATCTTGCATGTCCCCTATTTCTAACTGCCTGTCTTGGACATCCCATACATATTCAATATTTTTCCTGATTCACCCAAGGCACAAGAACAGTTGCCGATTTGGCTGTATTCAGCTGACCACTGAGGTATGCCGGTTGTGTACCTGTATGTCAGTTACTGGTGTTTTGTTGTCAGATCTGAGCCAGTCCGTAAAAATATCCCCCAGCCAAATGTCATAAAAATATAATAATGATAATCACAAACGAGCACTTTTCTGACAACACAAAAACAATGACCTTACTTTGATCCTATCAAATGGTTGATCTTTTTATAATTAATTCTACACATCTATAATTATTCCTGGGCGACCAAGCATGAAATAGGCGATACCTGTGTCCCCACGTAACCCTTTGAAAACACCATGAACCAACATTTTGCTGTGCATGATGTTTCAGCAAATACCAGTCTAGGAAATTTTATTTAACAGTAAACACATTCAGTCCGAAGGGTTATTGATCTAGTCATGACCCCAGAGACAAAATCTACACTGCTACCCCTAAAGCTATATTTTGACTAACAGGGTACATACAAAAAACTTTCGAGTTCCATATAAGGAAATAGAACGGACATAGAGATGAAGATAGAACACAATTCCTAAAGGTCACATGACATGTCTTACAAATTAAAGGTCACATGACAACAATTGTGAGATGTGCATTACCCTATTCACCTAACAGATAAGAGAGTGAAAAGTGACAAGTCACTATGTGATTGAAAGAGCCCTTAATCACCTAGGAAATAAGACTGTGACAGACAACAAGTCACTATGTGATTGAGAGGGCCCTTAGTCACCTAGGAAATAAGACTGTGACAGTCAACTAGTCACTGTTTGATTGAGAGGGCCCTTTGTCATCTAGGAAATAAGACTGTGACAGTCAACTAGTCACTGTCTGATTGAGAGAGCCCTTTGTCATCTAGGAAATAAGACTGTGACAGTCAACTAGTCACTGTGTGATTGAGAGGGCCCTTTGTCATCTAGGAAATAAGACTGTGACAGTCAACAAGTCACTGTTTGATTGAGAGGGCCCTTTGTCATCTAGGAAATAAGACTGTGACAGTCAACTAGTCACTGTTTGATTGAGAGGGCCCTTGGTCAACTAGGAAATAAGACTGTGACAGTCAACTAGTCAGTTTGATTGAGAGGGCCCTTAGTAATCTAGGAAATAAGACTGTGACAGTCAACTAGTCACTGTTTGATTGAGAGGGCCCTTTGTCATCTAGGAAATAAGACTGTGACAGTCAACTAGTCAGTTTGATTGAGAGGGCCCTTTGTCATCTAGGAAATAAGACTGTGACAGTCAACTAGTCACTGTTTGATTGAGAGGGCCCTTTGTCATCTAGGAAATAAGACTGTGACAGTCAACTAGTCACTGTTTGATTGAGAGGGCCCTTTGTCACCTAGGAAATAAGACTGTGACAGTCAACTAGTCACTGTTTGATTGAGAGGGCCCTTAGTCACCTAGGAAATAAGACTGTGACAGTCAACAAGTCACTGTTTGATTGAGAGGGCCCTTAGTCACCTAGGAAATAAGACTGTGACAGTCAACAAGTCACTGTTTGATTGAGAGGGCCCTTAGCCACCTAGGAAATAAGATTGTGACAGTCAACTAGTCACTGTTTGATTGAGAGGGCCCTTAGCCACCTAGGAAATAAGATTGTGACAGTCAACTAGTCACTGTTTGATTGAGAGGGCCCTTAGTCACCTAGGAAATAAGACTGTGACAGTCAACTAGTCACTATGTGATTGAGAGGGCCCTTAGCCACCATGAAGATAAGATTGTGACAGCTAACTAGTCACTCCTATAACAAAAAACATGTGTTGTTGATAATATGAAAGCTTACTTCTATGATTCCCACAATCTCCAGTGATAAGATGGTAGACATTGCTACCAAGCAAATTTCCTATTTCCTGGGAACTTTTCATTCTGTTTTCTGATGGCATAAAGGTCACAAGCATTTCTTCAAGCATCAAAATAATTTTAATACACTTCTGAAGTGTCTCTCTCTCAGAGGTTGAGATTCTCGTTAAGTTAGAGCCCCGTGTCTCTATTTTGATCTACGAAGAGTAAATTAAAACAACATGACTCTGTGTAAGAGGAGAGAAAAGGTTTAGTTCACATTTATTTGATAGTAAGATCGGGATTACATCACAGTGTATAAATACTGACAGCACCAGATAAAGAGGAACCTTCAGTTCTATACTCAACACAAATACAGATTTTCACTAGGCAATAAAAAAAAGTTAAAAATCAAAGTGTGAGAGATCTTATTCATTCAACAGTGGTAAAATTCGAGTTATGATGCTGGCGACAGAAGAAGAGGTTAAACACGACTATTTTATATACAAGATAATTTTAGATAAAATATGTCAGGTTTTATGTGTATGACCAGGAAACGACTCGGAAAAAGTCTGCATCTCTAATACAAGGTAACCTGTCTTGTCTACATGTTGCTTGCCAAATCGTGCTGACAGTGTTTATTCTATAAACCACTATTACTTTTGTCCAATTTACATACAGACAGACGTATTGACTTAACAGACTACTTAATACCTGTGTTTTTTAAACACGGTGACAAAATGTTAACTGTATGATATTCCTTTATTTGCTGTCCGATATGTAGGTTACTGACCTCTGTACCTAAATTTTATAGTCAATACTGAAGAGAATGACCACAATATGTCCTCCAAATTAACTCCCAAACTGACCGCTACAAGAAGGATTTTGACCTCAATCTATTTGGAGGAATCCTGTTTGAGATCATCAGATAGTCCATCACCATACATAATAAAAAAAAATTTCTGAGAGTTTTTCTGTTTAAAAAAACCTTTATTTGTATCATTCTTTAAAATTCTTAACCATAAAACTTTCCATAGTTTTTATTCCAATGGTTACATCTAGCTTTTGTATAATTTCGACTGTTTGTTTCTTTATTGAAAAAAATGTGAGCTTAGCGTTGAATAACAATACGCAATATAGCAGCATGACCTCCAGGGCTTGACACAAATCATTTTGTGTCAATTCAAATGTGGAATTAAGGACAAATAAGAAATTAGAATTTGATGTCAACAGCAGCCACCTCTAGTGAAGATTTCTGGTTAATTCCGGGATTATCTCCAGACTTGGGTGATGTCCAAGAGTTCTTGTGTTCCCTGTGGCTTTCCTTATCGAGTTGATATATTCACTATTGTCTCCACGGATAAGACAATCACCTATAGTTTGTGGACCAGACTTCCAGCTGCTGAAGCCATAGTGTCAGTGACCTCCAGGCTGACAGCGTATTCACACAATTCTGTCAGTCACCAGCCTACTTATTTAGTAAATATACTTTTCTCAAAAATGCATTTCCCCTGGTAAATCTTCCTCATCAGCACAGAAACAAGCTACTACCAGAAGGTGTACTGGTTCATCGCTGATAAAGCAGTAAGGCTTCCGTCAATACCCTCACCGTTCAATATCACCTGAAACAGCCATGTCTTAGTCAGTCTCACAGACGAAGGACCCCAGACTTTCAGGTCACTACACCTGCAAATAAAAATAGAGTAAAAATAGCACTCATCTGTAATACTGGCATATTGTTTCTCTGATGTAGTTAGAGAGGCAACCAAGCTCTCATAAAAACTAATGTTCTCTTATCAAGTCCTGGAGAGGAAACCCAGTCTCTCAAATCTAGCATGGCACAGGAAACCAGGGTCTCCAAAATCTAGGTAGAAGTGGATGTCAAGGTCTCCTAAATCTAGGACAAAAGTGGAAACCAGGGTCTCCTAAATCTAGGACAACTGTGGAAACCAAGGTCTCCTAAATCCAGGACAACAGTGGAAACCAGGGTTTCCTTAATACAGGACAACAGTGGAAACCAGGGTCTCCTAAATCTAGGACAAAAGTGGAAACCAGGGTCTCCTAAATCTAGGACAACTGTGGAAACCAAGGTCTCCTAAATCCAGGACAACAGTGGAAACCAGGGTTTCCTTAATCCAGGACAACAGTGGAAACCAGGGTCTCCTAAATCTAGGACAAAAGTGGAAACCAGGGTCTCCTAAATCCAGGACAACAGTGGAAACCAGGGTTTCCTAAATCTAGGACAACAGTGGAAACCAGGGTCTCCTAAATCTAGGTCAAAAGTGGAAACCAGGGTTTCCCTAATCCAGGACAACAGTGGAAACCAGGGTCTCATAAATGTAGGGCATCAGTGGAAACTAGGGTCTCCTAAATGTAGGGTATCAGTGGAAACTAGGGTCTCCTAAATGAAGGGCATCAGTGAAAACTAGGGTCTCCTAAATGTAAGGCATCAGTGAAAACTAGGGTCTCCTAAATGTAGGGCATCAGTGGAAACTAGGGTCTCCTAAATGAAGGACATCAGTGGAAACTAGGGTCTCCTAAATGTAGGGCATCAGTTGAAACTAGGGTCTCCTAAATGTAGGACATCAGTGGAAACTAGGGTCTCCTAAATGTAGGGTATCAGTGGAAACTAGGGTCTCCTTAATGCAACAGAAGAGGCCCAGAATTGACCTCGAAATGATTGAATTTTGAACTGACCTCAGACACTATGACACTATCAATGCCTGAGGGACAATAAAACTGGAGCCTCCACCAGACCTTGCCAGTAATTTCTGGCTGTTGTACAACACATCCATTTTTTATTTAATCTAAACCTCTGTCTACATTGTTACAACAGAATTCCACCTACAAAGGGACATCCTGCTTCCTCTACATCACCAGATGGAGAGCCACAGACACCAAAACATGCAAAATGATTATTATAGGAATGTGCATTGCCAAGCGTTGTAGCAGTTTACCAAGCCGGGAAGGAAACCTGAACGCAGACATCTAACATTAATGATATATTAAACTATTTTTTCGACAATAAACATTTACTTTGATTAGTTTTATTCCCAACTGCTGCATCGGAAAAAATTAAAATGTGTATCATGGCAAGCATTTGGAATGAGGGCACATGGTTGTGGTGCTGCATGCCTGGCATTTGTGAGTTGAACCCCATCAGGGGGCCATGTAGCTATGTCGGTCCCTGTATATCAGCTCTTTATCTACCATAATATATCATATCTCTTATTTCTCCACAATAATAACATCTCCAGTCGACACTAAGAAACATCAATGTGATGATAAACAACTGTCACTCTCTCTGAACATTTTATGTGGTACCCCTGTTTTTTTTTTTTTTTTAAAATTTACATTTTAATATATTCTTGACCTTGACCCTTGACAATCATCTGAGGTAATTGTGTAAGGTCGGAGTACCCTATGATTAACTCCTACTATACCTTCAGTGTGACCTGGTTGTTGGGTCAGTCGGTCCACTGAGGTGACTGTGTAAAGGTCGGACAGTTCTAATGTTCTAACATAATTGTAATCAAACTTATGTTTTTCTGTCTGGTGACGGGGATAATTCTGCCCTATTGGTCTATATTGGATTTTACTGATACTTCTATAGAGTTGATGCCCAATTGTCCGCATCTACGATAAAAAGTAGAGTCTCCAGACTTGTGAGCCAGCTCTTGGGGCTTGTCAGTAACACAATTCTGTAGCTGTTATATTATTCTATCAGGGAGTTAGAGAAGCTGTATAACAAAGGGGATATCACCTTTAGATGTACAGCTACTAAATTCAATGTTTCTCTAATAATAAAGGCAATTTTTGTTTCTTGTCTGAAAACATTTCTGTGTTCCAAATTGAAGTAAAGAATTATTGACCTGGGAGGATGACTCACGACAAAAGAATTGGTCCTTAAATCACAAAACCATGTAACCAACGTCTGGTCTGGTACCAGGATTATACCTGTTATATAGTCCACACAGGACAAACTGTACCACTACCAGTAATATACAGAGGACAAACTGTACCACTACCAGTAATATACAGAGGTCAAACTACCACTACCAGTAATATACAGAGGTCACTATACCACTACCAGTAATATACAGAGGTCAAACTACCACTACCAGTAATATACAGAGGTCAACCTGTACCACTACCAGTAATATACAGAGGTCAAACTACCACTACCAGTAATATACAGAGGTCACTATACCACTACCAGTAATATACAGAGGTCAAACTACCACTACCAGTAATATACAGAGGTCAAACTACCACTCCCAGTAATATACAGAGGTCAAACTACCACTCCCAGTAATATACAGAGGTCAAACTACCACTACCAGTAATATACAGAGGTCACTGTACCAATATCAGTAATATACAGAGGTCACTGTACTACTACCAGTAATATAGAGAGGTCAAACTACCACTACCAGTAATATACAGAGGTCACTGTACCACTATCAGTAATATACAGAGGTCACTGTACTACTACCAGTAATATAGAGAGGTCAAACTACCACTACCAGTAATATAGAGGTCAAACTGTATCACTACCAGTAATATAGAGGTCAAACTGTACCACTACCAGTAATATATAGAGGTCACTGTACCACTATCAGTAATATACAGAAGTCACTGTACCAATATCAGTAATATACAGAGGTCAATGTACCACTACCAGTAATATACAGAGGTCACTGTACCACTACCAGTAATATACAGAGGTCACTGTACCACTACCAGTAATATACAGAGGTCACTGTACCACTACCAGTAATATACAGAGGTCAAACTGTGCCACTACCAGTAATATACAGAGGTCATTGTACCACTATCAGTAATATACAGAGGACAAACTGTACCACTACCAGTAATATACAGAGGTCACTTTACCACTACCAGTAATATACAGAGGACAAACTACCACTACCAGTAATATACAGAGGTAAAACTGTACCACTACCAGTAATATACAGAGGTCACTGTACAACTACCAGTAATATACAGAGGTCACTGTACCAATATCAGTAATATACAGAGGTCAATGTACCACTACCAGTAATATACAGAGGTCACTGTACCACTACCAGTAATATACAGAGGTCACTGTACCACTACCAGTAATATACAGAGGTCACTGTACCACTACCAGTAATATACAGAGGTCAAACTGTGCCACTACCAGTAATATACAGAGGTCATTGTACCACTATCAGTAATATACAGAGGACAAACTGTACCACTACCAGTAATATACAGAGGTCACTTTACCACTACCAGTAATATACAGAGGACAAACTACCACTACCAGTAATATACAGAGGTCACTGTACCACTACCAGTAATATACAGAGGTCACTGTACCACTACCAGTAATATACAGAGGTCACTGTACCACTACCAGTAATATACAGAGGTCAAACTGTACCACTACCAGTAACATACAGAGGTCAAACTGTACCACTACCAGTAATATACAGAGGCCAAACTACCACTACCATTGACAAACTACTGGTAATATATCTCTATTTTTTAAATATAATTTTCTTACATCTTTTTAAAATTAAGAGGGAAGTTTGCTTAACCTGTAACAACACCATGAGGGAAGATTGTTTAACCTGTAACATCAAGAGGGCAGTTTTTGTAATCTGTAGGATTAAGAGAAGTGTTTGTTACACCTGTGAAATTAAAAGGATTATCATTTTAAGACAGATAGAAGACACAACCTTCGCGAGGGTAAATGCCAGATTTGACCTTGAGGCAATATTAACATATTCACAGATATATTCTCACTTAACATTTAACAGAACAACATAAGTCTTGTTTTTCTACAGTAGAAATAGCTTTGACGGCATGGACACCACTGAGCAAGCAGCAGACGATCAATTTCATGTATCAACCCTCCCAATCAAATTTCTTACCTTCAATACTAAAAGGTTACTCCTGAACATGTTCAGTTTGAAACTATGAAGTTAAATATTATCCAATAAAATGTCAGAGATGGTGATTTAAAGGCTAAAATGTCTGCTGTTATGTCATATGACCTTGGCTCCTAACGTCCCATCAGATTCCCCCTCCCCATCCTCTTACTAACATCAGATCCCCCCTCCCAAACCTCCTCTTTACACAGATCCCTCCTCCCCATCCTCCTACTAACATTAAATACCCCCTCCCCATCCTCCTCCTTATATCAGATCCCCCCTCCCCATCCTCCTACTAACACTAAAAACCCCCTCCCCATCCTCCTCCTTATATCAGATCCCCCCTCCCCATCCTCCTACTAACATTAAAAACCCCCTCCCCATCCTCCTCCTTATATCAGATCCCTCCTCCCCATCCTCCTACTAACATTAAAAACCCACTCCCCATCCTCCTCCTTATATCAGATCCCCCCTCCCCATCCTCCTACTAAAATTAAAAACCCCCTCCCCATCCTTATATCAGATCCCCCCTCCCCATCCTCCTACTAACATTAAAAACCCCCTCCCCATCCTTATATCAGATCCCCCCTCCCCATCCTCCTACTAAAATTAAAAACCCCCTCCCCATCCTTATATCAGATCCCCCCTCCCCATCCTCCTACTAAAATTAAAAACCCCCTCCCCATCCTTATATCAGATCCCCCTCCCCATCCTCCTACTAACATTAAAAAACCCCTCCCCATCCTCCTCTTTATATCAGAT